GTGTGGTGTCGTTGCGGATAGGAACAGAAACAACAGAATACAAAACTTGGCCAAGCCTCCCACAAGTCTAGGACAAACCTACCACAACTCTTGCACAAGTCGCCCACAAGTCTTAACTAATACATAGAATAACGTGCTCAGAAACTTGTGCAAGTTTTGGCGCCGACAACCGATTTATCTAATCGAGAACTTTGAGATTCATTATCTCGATTCCTGTGAAAGATATCAAAAATCTTTTAACTGATAACATATTGGTGATGATAAATATATTATGATAAATATTTTATCAGTTGAAAAGTGTTTGATTTCTTTCATAGGAACGGAGATATATGAGCTCAAAGTTTACGATTTGACAGGGGATTCTATTAGAGCATCTCATGTATCTTTTTTTGACAAATCTGCCAGAACAAGTTATCAATGAGAATTGCTTCTTTTTGAAATTCTCAGAAAGTTTCGAAAAATTTCTATTTAGCTTTTCAGGAATCCAAGTTTGATACAGTTGTTTCGAAATTTGGACCCTTCAAGAACATTGAACCTTAAACTATCTTCTTTTAACTACCTTAATCGGATCCTTCTGAATTCTTTGAATATTCTCCCAAAAGACTCCCATGTTGCCTCTCTTTTTTTCCTACTACTACTCAAGAGAAAAAACCGTCATCACAACAATAGAAGACGTCTTCTTCTCTCTACCTAATTCAATTCGTTTTCAGGAAATCACAGTGTACATCTGTCTCTCTCTCTCTTTCTGAAAAGAAAGAAGACGTGGAGAAAGAATCAAAATTTCATCAATTATTTATGCTTGAGCAAGTCTTCTTCTTTTAAAAAAACCATCCGAACCACCAGATTTTGTCGGGGTCTTCTGAATATAAATGTTCCGATTTGGGGGGAAATTTTAATTTCAAAAAAATCTGGGGATACGGTAGCTTTTGCGCGGGAAGTGATGTGAATGACATAATAATTACATGTGCTCCTTTGACGTCTTCTGAAAAAAATAGGGGATTCTGGAGACTAAAAAAAACGGAAAGTGACAATTAAAACGTCTCCGGCTCCTTCTTGGTTTGGCTGTCATCCATTATTTATTCAGGATTTTTTGGGATTTTCAGGAGACGTGGAATTTCCTTGAATTTTTTTTGGTTTTTGAGAATCACGGAAGAAGAAGAAGACGTTGTAGGTGGTAGGGAGACAGGAATATGAATTTTATATAAAAATGTGTTTTGGGCATGTTTCAATCTTTCATCTTCAGTTTTCGAGAACTTGACAATGAGTTGAAAACAAGTTTCGGAAGCGGAAATTTGAACGGAAATGAAATTGAAATTTGGTTCCAAAAATTCGAAAATAAGAAAAAAACTTCCTATCTGCTATTCCGTTCTTTGAAAGGGGGAACTCAGTGAACCGCAATGTGCAACGAACGGAAGTGTGTCATAAGAAAATAAAGATTTTTGGGATATTCGTAATATTTTTTTTTCGGAAAAAAAAGGAAGAAAAATTTGGTGAAACTTCACCAGTAGAATGGAACAAGTTCTTAGAATTTTTCCAAAAAATTCAAAACACCCTGAATTTTTCCAGACTCAGCTGTCGGCTTGCAACAAGTTGAGGGGGGTTCGGCTTTTGGACGGATCATAGTCAGATTTTGGTCAGAAGTTGCCCACTGGCAACAGTGGGACGGGCAATGGTCGGATTTTGGCCGGAATTTGAAGACGCTGCGTGTTAAGAAGTCGGAAGCTGGCCGGTAGTTTGTCGGATCTTGGTCGGCTTCCCACAATGTCTTTGCCGGAATCTGATCAAGCTCCGGCCAGAAGTAACTGGCGACGCCTGAGGAGCCAGAATTTGAAAATTCTAAAATTCAAAAATTGAAGCATTGAAAAAAACTCTAGATTTTAAGAGATTCAAAAAGAATTCGAAAATTCAGAAATTAGAAAAAAATTGAAAACTCAGAAATTCAAAAATACAAAGGAAATTTAACCTAGAATTCGAGAGATCCAAAAATCGGAAATTCGAGAAATGCAGAAGTTCAGAAGTTCAATCTTCAGTTTATTTTCGGTCATTTTGACCATTTTCAGAAGATTTTAGCTCGCCTAGGCTGCGCCCCTTTTTAGGACATTATATTTCAGTGTTTACGGCAAAGTTTTCTCGTGAACTCACAGTTTTTCTACATAAATGTAGTTTAATGTGACCTCCGTGAAAGCCTAACAAAATGGAGGCTAACTTCATGATTCGAAAAAAAAGGGAAAATCACTACTTAGTTTCCAACGTTCAAGTTGCAGGATCTTGCAGGAGCTTTCAAGTGTCTGTTAGATTCAACAACTTCCAGAACTTCGAGGACAACTTCCAGGGATGTTTCCAGAATTGGAATAGAATGAGAGGTAAGGAAATGGGAATTGGTAAATTTACGAAGTTTTCAAATTCTAGGAGCAGCTTGGTTTCCGGGATGCACCAATTGCAAGGACAGCTTCCAGAACAGGATTGGCAGAAACGAGGACGTCAGGAGTAATAGAATGAGGGGTTCGGAAACGGGAATGGGAAAAAATCAAGACTCTCGGGTTCGCACAATCGCTTTTGCTGGTTTTTCATTATCAAAAAAGAAAGTCATTTTGTAAAATAATGATAAAACTCTTCGAAAACTTAAGAAAAATCAGCATTTAGTTTTGAACGTTCAATTTTCAGGAGCTGATTGGTCTCCGGGATGCACCAACCTCGAACACTTCGAGGACAACTATCAGGCCGGCTTCCAGGATTTGCACGGATTTGAAACAGCATGATGACAGGAGTACTGGCAGAAGCAGAATAATATGCAAGGTGAGGGAATTTGAATTGGTAAATTGACGAAATTTTCTCGGGTTTGGACATTACATTCTCTTATATTCTAATTAAAACAGAACTGTTGTAAATTTTTGACAAACAAATCCTTGACGACTTTTCACAATTATTTAGCAAAATACAGAAATCTCAAGAAACAGGAAAAATGAGAGAATTAATAATTTTTTTAAAGCTTTCAAGTTCCAAGAGCAACTTGGTTTCCGGGATGCACCGAATGGCAGGACAGCTTCCAGGGCAAGATGAGCAGGGATGAAGACGACAGGAGTATTGGAATATAATGGAAGGTGAGTAGATATTTTCAATTTTAATGTTTTAGTCCATTAGGGAAAAGAGAATCGGTAAAAAACTAGTCCATTTTCAGATTTCGGAAAAGCAACTGGACAAAGGATACCGAGTCGACGTCGTAATGTCAGAGCTTTGTGAACTTAATTTCTTTTTGTGATACCTTTCTTTTTAGCTTTCTTGCGCGCTTCTCTTCGTCGATGGTTTTTGGGATCTCTTTTTGCTTCGGTTTTCGGTCCGTCTTCGTTATTCTAGTCTCTGTCGTGGTCCTTCAGTTTGGTCTTTAGGTCTTGTTGTCCTCCTTATTTCGTTTTCCTCATCAGAGATCCACGAATAGTCTGTTTCCCGTTGAAAAAGTTATTGGTCCGTCCGTTTACCAGAGCTCCAGATTTCCACAAGCCCATCCAAGAAATTCAAGAATAAAACATAACATGTTTATCATAATATCACCAATATTTTGTTAGTTGCACTCAACTGATAAAATTTTTGATATCTATCAGGAACCGAGATATCTGAGCCCAAAGAATCCTAAATATTTTAAATCCAATTTTCTTGAATTCTGCTCTTCTTTCAATATACCGTAAAACCTGTATTAGAAGGGCCCCTGAAATTGAAGAGCCTCTCTAATTGAAGTGCCCCCCCCCCTAGAGGCCTCACGAAAAATAGGAATGGGCCCTCTATTTGAAGTACCCCCCCCCCCCCCCCCTAATCGAAGTGCCCCTTTGACTACCTCCTTTGATTTTCAGCCGTTATTTTCTGTTGTTTTGATTGAATTACTGTCTGATTTAAAAAAAAATACTGTCACCTGAGAATTTGAATCCCGTTGCTCTAATACAGATGTTTTTCTCGTTTGAGCAATTTTTGCAATCAAACTTGGAGTTTTCGATTTAGAAAATTCTAGAAATTCTAGCGATCAAAATGTTATCAAGAAATCTGAATTTTAATCAGAAAATCCGACTAAGTCCAAAAAATTAAATTTTGTTTGATACAATGGCGGCTTCAAGAACGAAGCCTCGTAAATCGAAACGGAAGCCGCCCGCGAAATTTTCCAGGTCCCAGTTTTTGAAATTTCGACAATATTGGTGTTTTTCCATTTTTTTTAATGTAGAAATGTTAAGGGGTTTTTAGTAGAAAAACTAAATTTTCACTGAAAAATGATGCACCTCCGATAGAAGATCCGTTTTCAGAGAACCCACGAAAAATAAAAGTGCTCCCTCTAATTGAAGTGCCCCCCTAGGGACCCCACGAAAAATAGAAGGGCCGGTTCTTCTGATACAGGTTTCACGGTAAAAATTCTAGAATTCCTCACACTCCCGCAATAATGCGCCTCCTAAAATAAACAATTCAAATTGATTGAGTCAAGTTTCCGAAAAAGAGGGAAATATAAGACAAAAAATAGTGATAAGAAACATTTGGCGATATTAGTTTTGTTGCCTGTGCTCATCACTATACTAACAAATATAGAGAGAAGAAAATGTTTTCTTTTTTTTGACCAGTTTTTGGTGATTTTTTACTACTGTAGACGGAGGAGGGGGAGGGTACTAGCAATATGACTAACCCCGAAATGGTCACTGTATAGTTTCATTTTTTAGTATTTTTAGAATCCCACTAGTTTTTTAAATATACTTTTGGTTGAGGAATCATTTTTCCGGTTTGAAAATTTTTCAAATTTTGCTCCGAGAGAAGCCCACCCAAACCGTCAACTTTGAGCTCAATTAACTCGGTTCCTACAAGAGATGTCAAAATGTTGTCAACTGATAAAATATTTATCATAATATCATCAACATTTTATTAGTTAAAATTTTTTGGTATCTCTCATAGGAACCGAAGTAATTTAAAGCTGACTGTTTGGATCTATTAGAGTCAACACGGTAATTGGTTTTAAAAAATCTACTTTGAAAGCTAAATATATGACAAAAAATGAGGTTTAAAAATCCCCAAATTGACAAAAAAATAACCAATTTACTCTTCTCCAGTTGATCTTTAGAACATCCATCTTCAGGGAATTCGCATCACTTCAATATTCTGAAGCCTTCTCCCCTAAAAAAATTTTACGACTTTTCCAACTTTTCCCCCATCCTTCTACTCCTTCCATATTCTTTTTATTCTTTTCAGATCTCCAAATTTTTGTTCCAAATGAAACCCCTTTTCACATTTTTGACTGTTCTTGTACTCTGCAATTGTTCATCAGCTGATAATTCATGTCAAGCCACGTGTACACATGTAAGGAATCAGAATCCAGGGATACTGTATTTGAGCTCAATTGTCTCGATTCCTGTGAAAGATATCTGAAATCTGTCAACTGATAAAATGTTAGTGATATTTATTATGATAAACATTATATCATTTGAAAATTTTTCATATTTCTTAAAGGAACCGAAATCATTGAGCTCAAAGTTGATTGTTGGGGTAATTATTACAAAGAGATTCCTATTCAGGATGGCTACCCAATGCCTTGTGGAGTGTGGCTCAAGAACGAAACTAAATCCGGGTCATTAGGAACATATGCGGTATGTGCTCATTGCTCATCGTTATTAAACCAATGATCAATAATGAGTTACAGCTCAACAGCGGTGTTGCGAAACTACATTGCTCATTCTCCTCACTTCCGGAGCCAGTACAAATCCAATGGATGTTCCGCCCTTCGGATAGTGTCACTGCGCAATGGAGAGAATTCCCATGTGCAAAGAAGGAAGAGCATAAGAACTGCCAGTTAGTTTTTGATCTTTTTGAAGGGATCCAAAAAACAACTTTTAAAAATTGACTTTTGGAATTTTGTTATTTTTTCAAATTGATTAAGGTAGTTAAACTTTGAACTCAATTATCACGGTTCCTTTGCAAGATATCGAAAATCTGTCAACTGATAAAATATTACTGACATTATGATAAGTATTCCCAGTTGACAGATTTTTGATATCTCTCATAGCAACCGAGATAATTAAGTTCAAACGGACAGTGTGGGAGCCCTTCTATAATCCCCTTCAGGTTTCAAGTTTTTCAAAAGTTTAAAGGAAAAATAAAGAATTCTAGAAATGTTTTTATACAGAAAAGAAGAAATTATTGTGGAATCACACTGTGAAGTGAGAATGAATTCATTGAAAATGAGTGGAACCTATAAATGCGCGGCCACAATTCCCAATCACCATGACCAGAGATATCGGGCATTCAGCTCGGAATTCGCAATTAATGTTGTTGGAATCGAGCCGGTTCGATTGATTTCTAGTCACCTGCCCATGAACAAAAACGGAGAGATCAATTTGGAAGTGAGTTTTCGATTTTTGGGATCCCACATTTCTTTAATTTCAGGTGTGCGCTAACCCTCGACCTGAAGTATTCTGGCATACGATCGATGGAATTATCACTCCTGAGAAGTCATCCGATCGGTTTGCAGTTATAGCACTAACACCAAGAACTGCATTGAAAGTGCAGAGCGAGCCGTTGGCAGCAGTACCGTACTGCTACCGTACCAGTCTTCTCATTCATAAAGTTCATGAGAACGACGAATTCCATATGTCGATACGCGGTGAATTGAATATTGTTCATGAGAAAATTACGGTTAAAGTTAAGGTGAGCAGTTGAGATTATACGAATTTCCGCAAAAATTGTGAAAAATAACTTTTTTCACCTATTTAACAAAAAAATTTTCAGAGCTCCAACACTGAAAACTGCCTCCTCTTGATGATTGTTTCGCTGGTATTCGCTTTTTAGACTGTTAATTTTTCCAGAATTTTCTACTTATCATTTAAAATTTGTTTTTTTTTGTTCTATTTATTCGTGAAATAAACGCGGGAAATCACCTGAAAACTTGACCGGTAAAAAAGAAACTGTGTACTTTTACGTGGTGGTGTTTGCAGCCCGTGCAGCATACCTGACGACACTCTATTTTTTCAACTTTATTTGTTTTTTTTTCGTTATTTTTCGGGTCCCGGGTTGATTTTTTGCGTTTTTTGTTCAGGAAATCTTACCTTCGCTATCTTTTTCATTTTGCTTTCTCTCCAAATTCATTGCTTCTCCAATCGAAGACCCATAAATAACAACGAGCATTCGCTTTTTTCCGATTTCACTCGTTTTTTTGGAGTATGCAAAAATCCTTTCAATAAGCAGGATTTTGTCTCTGATTTCAAATTTTCGAGTTTCCAACCAAAAATCATATTTAAAAAAATGTTTCGACCGATCATTTATCTGAAAATCCAGCCGGGACTTCATAGTTTATTGACCACTGTTTTCAGCATGAAAAAACTTAAATTTTCAGAGAAAATCTAATTTCCTTTCATGTGATTTTCTCATTTTCACACTTTTCAATCAACCTTTCTCTGCTTACATGATTCTCTTTTTAAAAAATTTGTCACGATTGAGCATACATGTAATCCTCTCCTCATTTTTAATCCCTGAGAATATGATAGACAAGAAAAGTTGTGTTTATGTCTCCCTATCACTCAAATTTTTTGAATTGAGCGCCATTTTTGGCCTTGTGGCTGAGCGTATAATTTTTAACAGTAATGACATATTCTGGAATACATTCTAATAAAAACGGTCCTGAAATTCGTAAAAACCTGCGAAAGTTCCACATTTTTCACTGAAATTTTTTCTCAAATCCGCCAAATTCGAAAAAAAAATAATTTTCCAAAATTTCAGTTTAGAAACCTTACAGTATCATCTTCCAGTACTTGGAAGGCACTTTTATAGATTAGTTCAGTCATTCAGTCTTATTCAGAGTCCTTATTCACAGAAGAACACTTTCGATGTACTCCATTTCCGGCAGTCGGCTGCCATGGGTCTTGCAAAAAGAGTACTTGACCCCTTCATATACTCCGAAAAGCGATTAATAGTTTTCGGTAAATCTACAGAATGTTCCGGTGCAAAGCATTTCGTTTTGGACGTCACCGATTGATTGTGCCATAATCTACTTCCTTCATCAGCCTAGGACGAGCTTCATCTTAACTACTATCGAATGGCCTGTAGAATAGTAATTCGCTTGATCGAGCCTAGGCCGTTCAATCAGGATCAAGGTCATCCTAAGCTGCAATGAATACCCTAGGCCCGAAAAAATTTAAATCTTCAAAAAGAGAAACAGCAGATGTGTCTGGTTTTTTGAGTTAATTTTATGCAGGATGGAGTTCATTACCAGTAGATAAATTGGATTACTGTATCTTCTGACTATTCAGTGTTCAGTTTTAAAATTAGCCAGATTAAAAAATTGTTTATTTATTCATCTCACATTCCAGTTTCAGCTTTCATCACAGCCGCAGCGTCTTAGACCCTGTGTCTTCGTCTCTCCCGTCACCCATCACAGAACACTCACTCGCATCTCCCCCTCGATCGTCCTCTCATCCATCCTATCTCTTCTCTCTTCTCCATCTGCTTCTTCACAGTCTTCGCAAAATGCCCCCTCTCTTCAAAATGTGTGTGTGTCTCTTCTGCACACACACTCACACACTCACACATAGCGAAGGATTGTCCTCCGTGCGTCGGCCCTATCGTTTCTCTAGTTCCTCTTCGAAATGTACAGTGACTGTGTGGCCCAGTCGGTCGACTAGATAGTCATACAAAAAGACGTGTGCAACGCGCGCGCGCCCGCTCCGCAAAAATCGACCACGAATCGATTAATTCTTTCTCTCTTTTCGCCTCTCCCCTGCAGGCCCCACGGAGGACAACCTCCCCACCAAGGCCAACATCACTATTTCAGCGCATTTTGAAATTGCTATAACTCGGTTGTGAGCGCGAGTTAGGGATTGAGCTGTTGCGATAGGCTCCGGACGGGTCATGGCAAGGGGCACACCAAGTTACGGGACTCTCCGATCAGGTGGTTTAGAGATTCTAGGGTTTAAGTAGGGACGGGACTGTCGAGATGTGAATTTCTGCTAGGATGGAGCAACGGGTACAGTAAGCTGCGCTGATCGATTTTAGGTATTGGGCAGGGCAAGAGACTGGCCTGTTGGGCAGATTTGAAGCCCCAACGACATAAGAATGTAGGTCAGTTCCTAGACTCTAGAATCTATAGGTCTTCTGATATAGCTAATTTATACTTTTAAATCTATCCTGTGGACATAGCTGGATAACTGAAGAGGGAGGCCTACTCTAGATATCGCACACGAAGCTTTGGCACAGTGCCAATATCCTCTTTACACTGTGCTAATTGATCAATAGCGATGCCTGCCGAACAAGCAGCTGCCGTTTCAAACTTTCAAAACTTTGAAATATCAACGAAGATTTTTTTCAAAGTTTCTACTAGATGCTCTAGCGGATCCAGAAGATTCTGGGTGTGACGTCATCTGTTCCCCTTCCCCCACCCAAATTCAAATTCCCCCTCCTCTTGAGCAACCTCGCCCCACGGAGACGTCTCCGCCAACGCCTAGCCCGTCATTTCTCCATATTCATCGTTATTTGACGTCATTCCGTAGAATATGTCCTCTGCGAACGTCGTCGACAGCTGTTGGTTTACCTTTTTTCAATGTCCATATGATCGCTAATGCGTTTATGATAATTTTTATTCTAACTGCGCATGTAGATGGATTTTAAGAATCAGATGTTGGGTTTCTAGCTATCAATCTGCTGAAAATGCTGAAAATTTTGATTTTTGTCCAAAAAAAGTCACTTTTTCGGTCATATTCTGGAAATTCCATCAATTAGCGTTACCACGTTGCAGCTAGCAGGCAACATTGCAACATTTTTTTCTTGTGTGCCTTTCTGTAGGAGACTGAAGAGACGTAGAGATAACGAGTCTTAGTCATTGAGGACAGATTTTTTGAATGGCAGAACTTTTGAAATTCAAATTCATTTTTTGTCCAATTTTGATGCCGTTAAAGTGGGACTTCGACCAAAAAAACAAGAAAAAGCCGCTTCAAAAAGTTTCTAGAAACTTCTGGAAGGCTCTAAAATTTTTTTTAATTCCCGCCAAAACTGAAAACTCCGTTTTTCATTCCCAAAACTGTTTTAAAGGTGGCCTAGAATCTTCAGTTTTGGCCGGAATTCAAAAACAATTCCAGAAGTTTCTTCAGATCTGCCCAGTTTTGTGGGAGGTCAAATTTAGTCTGGCGGGGTTTTCTTCTGGGAAACCTCCTTATACATGACCTAGCAAGAAAGAGACAGTCATCTCCATACTTGTAACGGGCCGGGCTTTTTCCCGAATTTCGGAGGCCAGGCCCGGCGGGCCTGTCATTCCACAAGTTTTGAAAGTTTCAAAAAACACATAAGGGTGACCCTTATGCGATTTTTTTTCGATCAAAAAATTTTTTCGAGTTTTTAAAAATATTTTTTGGTCAAAGCACAAAAAAATATAGAAAATTGTATTGAGAGCTCAAAAATCGGTTCAAAATGACAAAATTTTTGCTACCGGGCCCGGGCCTTGAAATTTTCCTCAGGCCTGGGCTTTGGCGGGCCGGCCCGGAATTTTACAAGTATGGTCATCTCCAATTATTTATTGATTTTTTAGTGTTAATCTCATTGGCCTCTTTTTTGAATTTTTCTGTATTTTTCTAACCCTTCAAATTTCCAGATGTCCGACGGAGGTGACCAAACACAAGCACAGAGACCATGGGCCAGTCCTCGTCTGGTGAGATTTTTGAATTTTCAAATTCTCAAAAAAAAGAATATTCTTTGCAGCAACCTATAAAAGGAATCGTCCAACCGCGAGTGCTACCCCCATTCGGAAAACCGACGCGACACACGAACAAACTTGACTATATCATGACGGTGGTGCTGAAAGAGGCAGCCAAACACAAGCACGTTTGGCCGTTTCAGAAGCCTGTCGATGCGCATACCCTATGTATTCCTGTAAGAGAATTTTGGAAATAGCTAGGAGTTTGAATTATTTTGGATTTTCAGCTATACCACGAACGCATCACACGCCCCATGGATCTGAAGACGATTGAATCGCGACTCAAAAGCGTTTACTATACATCTGCTCAAGAGTGTATTGATGTGAGTTTAAAGAATACCGCGCAAAACCTGTATCAGAAGGGCTGCTTTCCCCGGACTTTCTCATAAAAAAATTAGGTCAATTTTCGCTCAAAATGCATTAAGAACTCATAAATTTCAAAAAAATTATGCAAGTTTTAAGGCGTTCAACAAATCTCCAGAATATTATTCACTGAAAATGAACGGGAATTTTAAAGGGCGCCCTTCTATTAGAGGTCATCCCTAGAGCTTTGAATTCCAGGACATCGAGCAAGTGTTCCAAAACTGTTACATGTTCAACGGAAAAGAGGACGATGTGACGATAATGGCTCAAAATGTGCACGAAGTGATCAAAAAGTCTTTGGAGCAAGCGCCACGCGATGAGCATGAAATGGATGTGCACTGGGGGAAGAACAAGAAAAAGGTCGGAGGAAAGGAGCTTGGTGTGAAGGCCTCAGCGAAAAAAGACGCACGTCAAGCGTCAGAAGCTCCATCGGAGACGGGAAGTGAGGCGCCGGCGGCCGCAGGAGGATCAGCAGCAACACCGGCAGCGAAGGTGAATCTTGGGGAATTTTGAGAGAGAAATTGTGTGAATAAATTTGTTTTAAATGGATTTGTGGCTTTACTAATAATGCTTCTTTCTTTTGTGTTTTTTACCCTTGCTTGATGTTGCTTCAAAGAGTGAAAGCCCTGCACACTACTAACCTAAAAAAGGAATCTGAATTTCCAAATGATCTCTGAAAAATTTCAGCCTGAACGAAAAGTGGCTGGCAAGAAGACAGGCAAGCGGAAAAACGACTCGGACGATGAGGAGAAACCAGAAACGCATCGATCGAAACGAGAAGTGGCTGTTGTCAAAAAAGAGACCACCCATCCAGTGCTCCCAATTATGAAGCCATGCATCAAACTGCTCGCCGAGTTCTACAACAAAAAATATCAGGAGTTTGCGTGGGTATTCTACGAGCCAGTCGACGCCGCCACCATGGGACTCCATGACTATCACAATATCATCAAACATCCGATGGATATGAAGACGATCAAGAAGAAGTTGGAGGCAGGACAATACAAGGAACCCGCAGAATTTGAGTCTGATATTCGATTAATGATAAACAACTGTTTGACCTACAATCCAGTAGGTGATCCAGTCAACTCGTTTGGTCTTCGATTCCAAGAAGTGTTCAATAAGAAATGGTCGGAATTGGTGGATGCTACCAGCTCGTCACGGGCATCTTCCGTAGCTCCATCTGCTCCACCTGCGGTCACGGCAACACCAAAAGTATCCAAGAAGGAGTCGAAGAAGGAATCAGTAGTAAAAGAGATAAAGCCAGAGGTACAAACTCCTTTTTATGAGCAAGGGGGTTTGGCAAAAACGGAGGATATGATGCAGATAAACAACGCGTTGAGTATGATACGAGAACGAGAGGAGAAGCTGAAGGCGGAGTTAGCTGCAGCGGAGGCGCTGGAACAGAAATTGGTTGCGTTGAAGGGGAGAAGAGAGGGACATCCGAATGAGCCATTCCCAGATAAGCTTATCACGGAGACGAGAATCATGTGCACGACACCGATTGGTCAAGGAATGTTCAATAGTTCTTCTAGTGGCACTTCCAGTGCTAACAGTTCGGCTAACCGGAATGGTCGTGTCAAGAAGCCTAATCCGACCGCTCGACAACACGGATACGATTTTGATTCTGATGACGAGGAGAACAAGCCTGCGTTGTCATACGATGAGAAACGGAATCTGAGTCATGAGGTCAATCGACTGCCACCACAACATCTCAGCACGATTATCGCGATTATAACAAGAAGAGATAACTCTGCGGTGAGTTTTGGTTTTTGAACGGAGCAAAATTTGAAATGTAGAGTTCTGTGCGTTTTACGGAACTTTGAAAATCAGCCGGTCCTTTTTTAATTAGTCCAAATGCGGTCAATCATTCTGTAAAGCCTACTAAGTTCTGAATTTTAATCTTTAGTGCTTCTAACTTAAATTTGAAAAAAAAAACGAAGTTCAACCTTCCATTAATTTCCAAAAAAGTTGGATAAAAAAGATCACTTTTCGGTTTTGTGGTAGTATTATATAGACGATCAAATTCACAAAAAAAATGCCAAAATTTCAGCTCAACCATCAAAGCATAGATGAAAGTGAGATCGAGTTGGATTTCGAGTCCCTCGGCGACATGTGCCTACGTGAAATGAGCGCTTTCATGAAGACCCTCGGTGTCAAGGAGGAGAAAGCCCCCGAACTACCGGTAACTCAACAGAAGGCTCCACGAGCGGCGTCCGACGCAACCGCTGGTCCATCTGGAGCTAAAAGTTCTGGTGGTTCTAGTAGTAAAAATGATAAAAAGAGTGAGTTGTCTTCTTTAATTTCTTCTCCAAACTCGTATTTTTGTCAGATCGACTTGCTGAGAAGAACTTCAACATGTCGGAATCGTCGGACGACGAGACGTCGAGTCGAAAGCGCCGAAAGAAGGAGAGCAGCGATTCGGAAAGCTCCTCGTCCAGCGACGACGATTCGGATGATGAGGGACCAAGTAAGTTGATTGTAGCGCTACCTGTGTTTTTTATGCCCAATGCTTATGTCAGTCAATGGGAAAGACTCTTAGAATGTCCGTCGGTCGTTTTTGTTCATCCAGCCCTTGCAGTGACGTTCGGAATGACATCTTCGGAATTTTTAAAATTTTTGAAAATTCAAGTTTTAAAGTAGAAATCATATATGGGTTACTTGGTGTCCTGTGGTGGACGCCACTTCGGCAGATTTTTTGAAGGCTCTTACACGGCTCAATTTTGAAAAGCTAGCTCGGCAGCTAGGCGTATCATACGTAAAATCGTGAGAGAAATCTAATGGTATCGCTTGCCGAGCAATTAAACTAACACAGAAAACCTTTTTTTTTTTTGAGCTTGCTCGGCAAGCCTAAAGTCTACCAATTCTGGCCATGTATGGTAGAAATTCCATTTTCCCATCACAAACAAGCCGAAAATAGGTGAAAAATTGAAAAAAAAAAGATTTTGGAAGCGCAACAAATTGGAAGTAGTTCTGCCTGCAAGCAATTTTTTCGCGGCAAACCGTAGTCCAAAAATCTCTAATTCCAATAAAAAGCTTCTGGAAAATTCCGACCAAAATTTCATTCGGAAAGTAGACTGAATTTTCGAGATTTCGGATTCCGTTCCGAACATCCCTGAGCCCCTGTCTTTGCTTAAAATGAACCTTCTAGAATGAATCTAACGAGTTCTCTCGTTCAGGCATCCCACGTAAATCCGGGCAGCCACCGTCATCGCGCGAATGGAATCAATCGGCGCAGCAGCAGCCACCGCCACGTATGGGAGGAATGGGCGGGCAACCGCCAATGTCTCGTCCTGCAGCCGTCCCAAATATGACCAGCAAAAATGCGCCATCGAGTTCTTATCGTGAGCATTTATCATTATGCTAATCTAGATAGTCATTCTGATTTTCTGTCTCCTCGATTTTCTTTTTCATTGAATCTCTCTCTCTCTCTCTTTTTATCCTCTTTGATTCGATTTTTTATAGCTCATTCCATTTGTCCGGGAATCCCTCTGTAACTAACAAAAAAGTGGGTTCAAACATACTAAAAATACGTTTAAAATCATTATAAATTACAGGTAGATTTTTCTCTCTAAATGCTCTCAATTTTCTTTCTTTTTTTAACCCGAGGTAATTAACAAAAACCAAAAAAAAAAAATTCAAAAAATCTCACAATTAACATAGGTCGACGAAAAAAAAACATCCAAAAAAAGTAACCCAAAAGACTACAAACTACAAGTTCATATATATTTCTGTGTAAATGTAAAAAATTGTATCTCATCATCGTCTTTTTTTTCTCTCTTTTTCCCTCCGTTTTTCTCTCAAATTTCACTCTTTTTTCTGGGGTTTTCCTTTTTTTTCGTTCTTCATTTGGAAAATTGAATTTTTTCGAATAATAAAAATTGTCTATTATTTTTCAAATCCATCGTTATTTATACATCTCTTTTTCTATATTTCCCCAACCACCGGGCAAATGGAATGGCTTTGTTTTGCAGGGGATTGATTGTCTGTTATTGATTTTTATGAATATATCAAAAGTATGTGCTCGCATGTATTCAGCTTTTTTAGAAGCACCACCAGCACCGCCGCCGGTATCCAAGCCAACGACTACACCAGCAGCAACGGCGGCGGCTCCATCGAAACCAGCAAAAAGTTCACAACCGACAGCACCAAGTGTTTCAGCCGGACAGCCGCCGAAGAAGAAGCAGGCAACTAGTATACTGGATACACTACTTCCCGATACGTTTGGATCTTCCTCGGCATCGCAGGTAATTTAGATTTTTTGTGTAGTTTTTGTAGTTTGTAGTTTGGTTTTTATTGTAAAAGGTAAAGTTCGGTCTCCAGCAGTAGACTCGAAAAAGGTCAAATTTGATCTACCACGATTTGGCTAATTTTCATTTTCAGCATTTTTTCTTTATTTAGCCTTTAGTCTCCAAAAAAAACAAAATTCTGAAATTGAGAAAAAAATAGTTCAGACCTGCCATAACAGAAAATTTTTAACCGTAGATCTGGTCTGGAGATTTGGTGAAATTTAGAGCTCTTGGAGTGCTACATTTTACGACGTATTTAGTAAGATTGACCTGATTAGGCTGGCCGAATTTACAGAAAAAGAGGTCCTGATTTCGTTTCTAAAATTCATCAGAAGTTACAGGTGATGCCTGGAGGAGGTCCGAGCTCTTCGAACAACGCAATGACATCACCGACGGAGAATGGAACGAATGGATCTGGAGGAGGACAGGTGGAGAACGGCGAGAACGAGGAGGCCAGGATTCACAGAATGCGAATGGAGGTACGCCCGAAAATATAGATACAAAAAGAGAAAAAGATAAACTTGTAGTATAAGCATTGAATTCAAGATTCTCAAATTGTGCTTTAGATCTGCAAAATTTTCAAAAAGTAGATCAAAAATTTCGGCCCCGCGACACTTCGAAACCAGTCATTTTGAAACCGTGGTAATACAGTCTAATTTTCAGACTGCAAAAACAATTTAAGGGTTTTCAAGCATGCTTTTTCTGATAGAATCCATTCTGAAATCTTTAAAAAATTTAAAATTTGATGTTCTCAAAAAAAGAAAATTCTCGAATTTTTGGATTTTCAGAATGTATTCTATCAGATCAGAAAAAGCATATTTTAAAACCCTAAAATTGACTTTGCAGTTTGAAATTTATCCATTCGCCTGTATTACCACGGTGTCGCGTAGCCAAAATTTCAAGTGGTAGATTATGGAACATGTGGGAAAGCGTAATAAATACGAGAGAAATCATTTATAAGAGCAGTAATCGTAAAAAATGGACATGCAATTTTTCCGGCCTTACAAACACACAGATTCGAAATCTTGGATTTTTTTTTGGAATTTCGGAATTTCCTATACTTCAGACCCACAGATTCCCTTAATTTCAGGCTAAACGAGCGCGCCAACGCGAGGACGAGAACAATTTGACGTTGACGAATCAGATGGAGATGATGACCGCATTCGAATACGATAATACTTATTAAATATGTTTTTTTCCTTTTTTTTCTTTTGTCCTAAATATTAATATTTTCCATCGGGTCTCTCTCCATTGCTCCTTTTTCCTTTTCTCACACACGAGGCATTTTGCACTGAGCAATCAAAACGTAATCACTCTCCAGTGAAAAGTATTCCAGTGATATTATTATAACTATTTTTCCTTTTTTTTCTGAGAGAGATACCCCTCATCACCATTATCATTTTTGTTTTCGCTCTCTGTGTTTTTAAAAAAATCAAAATTTTCCCTGTATCTCTGTGTCTTTATTCTGCAAATCACCTCTCTCTGTTTCTCTCAAAACGCTTCTTTTCTTCCTGTTTCTACATCTCTAAATGCTTTAATTTTACCCTTGTCAAGAAGCCAGAAGCCACGTGGCTTTTATACTTCCCTTTCTCTCAGTCGTTACCTCTTGTTTTTTTCCCTATTTCTCCTGATATTCCGAATTTTTGAAATTCGCGCGGTGGTTCTTCTCCGTCGCCCCTTTTTGGATATTCTCCCTCTTCTTTTTGTTTTTATGTGTTGTATCTCTGTGTGATTGATTTCTGAAAACGTTAAAGTTTTATTCCTATTTTCCTTTTTTTTTTCTAGATAATTTTTTGTTACTTCTAAAACCTCCACCCCTTGGTCCTGATGATGGGCCATTTTTCACACAGAAACATAGCAATATTTCATACATCGATAATGTGTAAGCCTTCTGACGGAAGGCGGGAAAAGAAGGCGTTAAAAATTAATGGAAGGCCCGGAATTTGGATGGATGGCAAAGAAGACTTCTCCATGAAGACAAGACTCAGAAATTTCAGAAGAAGTCGCCTGGAAATAAAGAAGACTCTGAATTTTTTGAATTCGTCTGAATTTAAATGAGTGACATCAAAATTTGGAGATTTTGTTTTTTTGTTGAAATTCTGAACTTTTTGTACTTTTTAATAAGGAAGTTTTCAGTTTTTAATTGGAAAAGTGCGATTTTAGAATTTTGTAGTTTTGGAATTCCAGGGATTTTGGAAATTTGGGATTTCGAAATTTTAAAATATGTAAATTGTTCAATTTCGAAGTTTTGGATTTTTAGAATTCCAAAAATTAAAAATCATAGAATTTTGAGATTTCGAAATTTTGAATTCTTTTGGGAATTTTGGAACCTTGCGATTTCAAAAATTCAGAATTTTATTTCAGAATTTCAGAATTTTCAGTTTTTGAATTTTAATAAAAAATTGATTTTTCCCTAATTTTTGCAGAATTTTTAGACGATTTTTCCAGTTTTTTTGTATGAAAATTGACGGGATGATGTTCTTGGAGGAAGATTACTGTAGATTACTGTAGCAAACATTGTATTTTTTGTAGTTTTTTTTTCAGACAACGAAAAAACCGGAAAAATCGAAAGAAAATCTTTAAAATAGCTGAAAACCTTGGAAAGGTCTGAAAATGTTGCCTGGCTACTTCAAAAATTCGGAAAATTAATTTTTTTTAGAATTTCGAAACTTGTGAGTTTTCGGAAAATTTAGATTTTGGAATATTGGAGTTTTAGTTTTTAATTACAAAAAATTTAGTTTCAAAACTTTCATAATTTGGAATTTAGGGGTTTAGGAATTTCGAATTTTCAGATTTTGAAACTTTTGGAAATTTCGAATTTTGAAGCTGTGAATTTTTGAAGTTCTGCAAATATACGATAGTTTAAATTTAGATTCTCAAAGTATTAGAATTTTCGAATTTTGTTTGGAATTTCAGATTTCGGAGTTTAGAAACTTGGAATTTTCGGAATTCTCAAACTTTGAGAATTTTGAATTTCAAACTACAAAATTGGTCTTACCTTTTTTCCAACTTTTGATACTTTTGAACTTCGTTTTTTTCTAGGAAATTTGAAGCGAATGTGGTTTGCACAAACTCATTTTCCATTAATATGAAATTCAAAACTTTTTTGCAAATTTCTTTCGAATAAAAAATTTCCGTTGAGCTTTTTTGGTTTCTTGCAGATGAATTCTCCAAAATCGAATTTCAAAAAAAAATCTTTAAAACTTTTTTCTTCATTTTGCTGAAACCACTCACTCAACCCGACAACTTTGAGCTCAATTATCTCGGTTCCTGTGAAAGGTATCAAAACTTTGTCAACTGATAAAATATTGGTGATATCATGATAAATATTTTATCAGTCGACTTATTTTTGATAACTCTCATAGGAACCGAGATAGTTGAGCTCAAACTTGACATTGTGAGGGCTCTTCCATTGCAGGTTAAACGGGAAGTGGATCTCTGTAATTTCTAGAGAAGCCATTGACTTTGATCTAGTTTTTCAAAAATTCCAGAAACCATAAAATGTTTTTTGAAATATTCTTGGGGATTAATGTCCAAACGCCCTTTTCGAATATAAAGAAAAAACAGTTAATTTGGTTAGAAACCCATGAAAAGAGAAGAAAACAAAATGTTGCCATACACCCTCTTTTTTATCTAGAAACTACGATTTTTTTTTCCATTCGGATTATCCAAAAAATGTCTAGGCAGAAAAAAACAACGATTTTTGAAATTCTCTCTGATTTATAACTATGAAAAGGCTTCTCAAAAAATTGAAAATCATCAAAAAACTTTTTTTTCGTTTTTCGCAGAATTCATATTTTAAAATTTCCATGAATCTTCTCAAATTTTTGGGACAACTTTTAAAAAAAAAATGTCTTAAGACTTTTAAGCACAAATTTTTAATATAATTTTTTCCAACTTTCAGGAGAGAAGAGATCCCGGTCTGACATTTTGGACAATAGCTTGAATTTCCCTTTCTTGATCCAATTTATTTTTGGGCTTATCTCAATTGGCTGTTCTCTGGCAATGATTCCAATGTAAATTGAATAGCTTTTTGTGGTTTTGAGGCAACCAAATGAATTTTGCAGGGCCAAATTCCAATTTTTCGGAACATTTCGATAACCCATCCTAAGCCAGATATCAAAGGAAGTTTGGAACTCTAAGGCCCCAAAAAAAAGTATCTTTGTTTTAGAAAATTTTAATATTAAAATCTAAAAAATCCTTATGCCTTATTTTTCGCAAAAATAAAACATGATGAGGGGTACAAACAGCTTTTCAAGTTGAATCCTGAGAAGCTGGATCCATTAGCACCGTAGCCTCTTTTTCTGATCGGTTGCTCATCTTTGAAATCAGAACAACCTCTCCTAATCCTCGTTTCGTCAGAACTTTTTTAATTCGGCGTCACAGGGCGATAGACTGAAAAAAAAACAAAAGTCAATCTTAATCTGTATACTTTGGAAATAGGACATTATCATGACATAGACACTATGAATGGTCATGGATTAAGAATTGGGTGATTAGAATTTCTGGAACCTCCCATTTCAAAGATTTGTCGTTCTTCTTGTGTTCTATAATTTTTTAATCCCAGCTAATTTTGAGTCTTTCAAAATTTGAATTCAAGACGACAGTCTTTTTATTTCTATTTAAAAAATGGTCCAGAAATTGAGTTATTAAGAAATTCAGCTATTAAGAAAGTGAGCTATTAAATTTTCCCATTTCCTAAAAAAAGTGAAACCGAGAACTTTTCATTCAAAAAAAAGAACTCATTCTTAAGAATTACCGGAAGCTGTTCCATTTTCTCAACCTACTACCCATTATTCTTTCCTTCAATTTTCCCCTTCTTCTGACTTTTTGAGTCACCTAGGAGAAAAAAAAAGAAAGAAAAACAAACTAATGAAACACAAACTCATTTCCTATTTTCTAGTCTGTCTAGAAATCATTCTTTGTTGCACATTTTTCTGATTTTAAGACTCGAAAATTTTGGGTTTTCAGAGTTCGAAAGGTGTGCCTTAAAGGAGGGACTCCGACTATTTTTTTTTTCGCATTAAGATGTTCGGAAAGTTGTGTATTTTCCAAAAATCATTCGCAAAAATTATTTTTTTTAACCGAAATTCTCAAAAAAAAAACCCTGAAACAAAAATAAGGATGGACGAGGATTTGAATTCCCGCGCATTGAGAAATCGAGGCCACGGCCGTAGTCGCATCATTGACTTTGCATTTTTTTTCGGAGTTTTTTCGGAGTGTTTTTTCCACTTTTTCATTCTGAAAACTTAGAATTTCGTACAAAAAACTCAAAAAGAGGAGAAAAGCGCCAAAAATCCTATATATGTATATATAAGAAAGGCTGTCAGGCGCCGTGGCCTAGGTTTCTCACTACGCGGGAATTCAAATCCTCGTCCCTCTTTGCAATTTTTTTTAAATTTTCCAGTTCGCTTTTAGATGATTTCGGATTTTCTTTCTAGTTTTTTTCGATAAATATCGAAAATTTTAACTCAATTAAATTTTTTTTTTGGTCAGAGTTCCCCTGTAAGAACCTTCTAGACTCTATTTTGATTCTTCTAATTGGCCTGTTAGGTAGAAAATTAGAATTTTATCGAATTTCCCACTCTTGATCCAATTTCATTTTGGGCTTACCTCAATTGGCTGTTCTCTGCCAATTATTCCACTGTAAATTGAATAACTTTTTGTGGTTTTGAGGCAGCCAAATGAATTTTGAAGGGCCAAATTCCAATTTCAATAATTTTGGGAAAAAGCTATCCTCAGCCAGATATCGAAGGAAGTTTGGAACTCTAAGCCCCCCCCCCCCCCCCCCAAAGTGTATTTCGGTTGAATTCCAATTTCCAAAATCCCTTCTTAGCCGTTTTCCCAAGAATTTTCGTCCCTTCCTTCTATATTTTGGACTCCTTGTTTTTTCGATCCCGTCATCCAGTACCGTAAATTTGAAAAAAAAAAGATGAAAACGAAAATTGAAATTCGTCATGAATGTGCTGCCCTGCCATATAGCTACACAACATCTCCATTTGATTTATGTTCCGTCGATTCCGTTTTGACATTTCGCAGTAATTCTTCAAGTGGGGCTCACGGGACCAGACAGAATGACGAGAGAGTGACTACTGATACCGTAGGACAACAACATAGTATACATAAGAAGCGTTGATTTTTAGTTTTCACATTGTATCGGTTCCTGGAACAGATATTATAAAGTTGTCAAATGGTCAAGTTCTCACAATTTTCCAGATCAAAATATTTTTAATTGCTTTGATAGGAGCCGTGATAATTTAGGTGAAAGTGGGAATTCCTTCATCCGTTTTCCTCATTTCGTAACCCGAGATTTGGAAAAGTTTAAGGATTATTTGAGCTTTTTTTGAAGTCCGAACTACCGCTAGAAATGTGACAATTTCCTTTTCTTTGGAATTGTGTCATAATTTTTGGAACCCCTTTTTCGAAAATTTTGGTACATCGTTCGTGTTCTTCTTACCACTTTTTCCAGAATTCCAAAATCCGAAACTTCCAGATAATTTGATAAATGCCTTGTTGATCGAAGTACTGTAATTTCCTCTTTAAGGTATTTTTTTAATGTTGCGCCTTCAGAACTATAACTTCCATTCCGTTTTCCTTATACCGTATCAGATTTTAATAGTTTCATATCAGTCATCTCTGATCCACTGTCTTTGTGTCCTCTTTTTCTATAATTTCACATTTACTGAAATTTAAAATGTTTCTCTGAAGTCCAAACCGCCAACACAACTTTGAGCTCATGTATCTCAGTTCCTGTAAGAGATATCACAAAGTGATCAACAGACAAAATATGCATAATATTATGATAAACATTTTGTCTGCTGACCACTCTTTGATACCTTTTACAGGAACCGAGATATGTGAGCTCAAAGTTGAATGTTTGGGTGACCTTCTATTAGAGGAAGTACAGTATTTTTTAACCTAAAACTTCTTTATTGTTCTGATAGGAGTCCAGATAACTTAGGTAAAAGTGTTTAGTGAATAAATGATGAAATCCATGATCACTTATTTCATCTTCCGGAATAGTTTTTAAGGTTCATTTCATCTTCTTCATTTTTCAGATAATTTATATCCTGATCATTGCCTTCATTTTGTCTAAACATATTAAAGTTCCTTTCCAAAAGTTTTCAACCGAAAACATTTTTGTCGTCCATGAGAATATATTGTAGTTCTCACTTCCTGAATCTTCTAGGATGACCAAAGGTGCAGCTTTTTTGTTACTTTTCCAGACGCAGGTACAACATGCTCCATCCATCCTTTCTTCTTTTTTCTTCCTTTGTTTTGTGTTTTCCTCCTGCCTATGATCTGAAAATAATAATAATAATACCCTTACTTTTCCCCTCTCTTTTCTTATTCCTTGGTCCAGTAATTAGAGTGTCTAGTGAAGAAGAAAATTGCCTTCTCGTATTTTTTTTTGTTGGTTTCAGCTGTATATAGGAGGATACCTGTAAAAAAAGAACCAATTCTATTTATCTCATGGATCAAAATGATTAATCTTCTTTTTTTCTCTAGACACCTTTTTTCTTGAAAAGCATGGCGATGAAGAACAGAATTTATATATGAAAATTAGATTACAAATGAATCATCTTGTAAATAAATATATGTTTTTTTCGGAAGGAAGAGGGTGGTTTGTGGTTTGGAGCTGGAAACGATAGATAGCATCAGAGATGAGTTTTCTAGAAAATTTTGGAAATTTCGGATTATAGTGGCCGAGAAGTTTCTAGGCCATCTTGCTTCAGGGTTTCAACCACTTCGATTCCGAACTGAACAAACGGACCAATACATTTTCTGGTCCCAAAGTATTCTGGTAGAAAAAGAGATTTCAAAAAAAAATTCTCAAATATCAGAAAAATTGATTTTGGTGAATTTTTGTCTTCTAAAATTGAAATTCTGGTAATATCAAATTCATTTTTTTTTCTGAGAAAAATTTCAAAAGTTTCAAATTCTGAAATTCAAGAATCCGAAAATTCTAGTGCTCTGGAAAATTGAAATTCTGAAATTTTGAAATTCTGAAACTCTGAAATTCTGAAATCCGGAATGTCTAGGACTCTGAAATTCAGAATGAAAACTTCTGAAATCAAGTTTTTCTCTTTTTTTTCGAACTTTTAAGATTTTTCAAAATTTGCTAAATTGAGAAAAATTGATTTGACTACCGTTGATAATGTTCATTCACACAGTTAGAAACACACTGATTATCAGGTTCTGGAAGATCTCGGAGATAGGCGCAACGCTCGATTTGGTCCGGGTTCCAACGAGTTGATGGACGTATTCGGAGACAATTAGTGATAAGTTCCGCTAAAAACTCCGGATAACCATCAATCGAATCCACTTTGATCTCTTCATAAGACGACTGCATAAGACGACTATTGTTAAAATTTCTCAGTTTTTCTAAGTCTATACTTTCCGATTTCTGTGATCTGTGTAAAGCACTTAAAATTTCAATTATCGTAATCCACTTTGATTTTCTGAACTCTTATAGCTCTTCAAAATAGGCGGCGCCTAATCGTAGACTTCTTGACTTCAGTAACAGCCTTTTCGAAAAATGGGCGGAGCTTATTTTTCAACTAGGTCAACACCAAGAGATCCAATGGGTCCAGAAGGAGAAATGCAATTAGGATTTGTGTTGTCCCTAAACCACTTTTTGCTCTAAAGAAGAGCACTGGCCAATTTTAAAATTTATTTCTCCTTTCTAATTCCTTGGTGGGCATTTCCGCGTTTTATGTGACCTAGATTCTGAAAATTTTTAATTTCTTCCAGCTTGCGAATCTTTAAAACTAGAAAGATCTCGAAACTTTACACATTCATAACAAAGAACCAAGTTTCTAGGACTCCTGAGAGCCGCGATAGGAGCGTTCGAAGTTCAGAAGTGACGCAGGCAGTCATAGCGTCTCGTTTTCTGCGTCTCTCGCTTCCTATCGTATCTGTCTCGGCATCCAGTGATGCTAGAAAAGGGATTTCTGTAAAGATCTCCTCACCTATTTTTTCTGATGACGTGGAACAAAAAACCTGAAAGAATCCGACAACGTGACATCTGGAATCCTTGAAAAACAGGAAATTCTATAACCCAGTCTCTGTGTCTCTTCAGGATTTCAGAATGATCTAAAAATGATCATATTTTAATTATGTATATACAACCTCCAGATGTGGTCTCTCTTCGAAAATTTTCCGCCTCCTTCCTCTTCTTTTTTCTATTCAGAATTTTTTCCCTTTCTAGATTATTCCTCTTTGCAACACACACAATGGATTTCAGATAATTGAATTGTGTTCTTCTTTTTCCTTTTTAAGATTCTCCAGGTTCCTTATAATGCTTCTAATGACATCATCTTCATTTTCGTTTTGATTCTCTTTTGATACTTTGTTCCAGAATATTTGTTTTCATTTTCAAACAAAGGATTCTTGTTTTCTGAAATCGAGAAATTTCTGAAAATTTCAGAACATACCAAACAAAGATAGATCTTCATTTTTGTAGTTGAAAACTTTTTTGTACAAATGCGCTCTGATGAGGTGTGCCAGTTGAATCTAGACTCCTAGGAGACGCTATATATGAAGTCCTGTATTAGAAGGGTACCCTTTTATTAAAGGGGCCCTTCTAATTCAGGTCAACAAAAAGTTTTAAAAGTTGAAAGTTCTAGTTTTGTTTCGTGTTTTCTGAAAGCTGCAGAATACCCTTGACATAATTTTTTGAAATTTCTAATCTTTGGTCCATCTTCCAAAACTCCAAATTTTCAGAAGCACCATGCGTCCGTGGCTATTCGTCATTCTTTCCATCATCTTCATTGCCAACTTGGTTGAGTGCCAGGAGAAAAGAAGCTCTATGGGAGGGTAAGCGATAATACAGTAGTCTCAATAATCTATGAAAATTGGCTCGTGGGGCCTAAAAGGGTCCAATTTTGATTTATCCCAAGAATTGACTTTTTGAATAGTTGTCAGAAAATCTCTGTAGTCAATTGTCAATATTCTGAATTGCTGAAAATTCAATAATTCCTGGTTCTTCATATTTTTAGTAGTCGGTGAAGTTATCATTTATCAGGACACTGAATTTAAAAACTCCCGGTTTTCAAAGTTGGAAAATAGATGGCTGGTAGATAGATAAAAAGACGCAACTTCATTTATTTATTATAAGAATGATAAGGAAGATATACAGTTAAAGGTGGAGGCCCTGACTCCTTGATTTTGCGAATCCGGTTTTTTTTTGAATGCCAATACTGCTAAATAGTGCTCATTACTGCTCTTGTCGTTGTGATACAATTAGTCAACTCGGTTTCTCTAGGTAGTTGATGGTCCGTACAATAGCCGCCAATGACCCGTCGATTCTTTTTTGCTGGACAAAAACTGTAATTAGCTTCTTCAGGTGCCATTCATCTG